ATGTTTGTTCTGCCCGCCCCTTGAAATTATTTCCCGCGATCACTAATATAGCGCAGAAACAAATACTGCCCAATCTTCAGTCCGTCGTCATCGTCCTGCTAAAGGAAATACTGACAAACATTACGGCGGATGCTGGCCAGTCAAATGGTAGTAGCCAGAACGGACAAAAATCTGGGTATGGTCGTTGGCATACTTTATATTCGAGTTGCTAACTTTAGTAGGGTGATGTCTAATGGGATCAACGGTGCCCAGACTTCTACCGCCGGAGCATACTCAATGCCCGACCATGTAGGGAATCTAGAGGACCTTGATGCCGTTAGGTCCCGGGAAATAAAATCCAAGGGCATTTCTGGCGTGTTATTGCTATTGTTGAAATGGTTCAAAAGATCTCGTGAGTGCACGCCAGGCTACCATGAGATTACAATACTAATCCCCTATAGACATTTTGCAATTTGAATATATGACCCAGCTTTTACTTGATTCCAATTATTTGCCGCTGATATTAAAGATGTTTATACATCAAGATGTTGATAGGGCTGTGGCTCAAAGGAATGACAGGAAAGATCTAAGGTTAGTGTTTCTAATGTTCTCCCCCAGCGTGTTTCCGATTCCTTACTGCAATTCTAGCTTCTTCCATTTCTGCCACGTCCACTCTGATCAACCACCGCTCGCTCTTTCTGAACCTGAGCCCGAAAGATTAGAGGATAGCGAAGAAGAAGCTGTCCCCCCTCCGATATCTCGAAGCCGATCATCCTTATCTGTGCTCAATGCAGCTGCAACACCCAGCGAGAAAGCTCAGGATCACTTCACAGATGGTGCATTCCTCCCCGAGGTTGATGAACTAGGCTTCCCGACCGCTCCACTTCCCGACACGCCGATTACCGAATTCTCATTCCGCAACTTCTTTTCTGCGATAAATTACCTTCACATCATGCAAAAGATCACCCGCAACAAAGCTCATCGCTGCCTGCTACTTGTGCAATATAAGTCTAGCGCCGTGCTACGAAAAGGAATTAAGATTCCCAATCCTCACCTCCGCCTATACACATTAAAACTCTTTAAATCTCAAGTTCCTTACTGTGGCCGTAAATGGCGTCAAACGCACATGCGCATCATCACCGCCATTTATCTATACTGTCGCCCGGAGCTACGTGACGACTGGCTTTCTGGCGCTGACATTGATGCTGAGGTGGAAGATTCGCTCCCAATGGAACAAGCGCTGAGGGGCCTGACACATTGGTGGCATCTGAGACGGTACAAAGATGTTATGGCAGTGGAAGGTGGCCAAACATTGATGGATGAGGAGAGAGATTTCTTCTCTCGGGAGTTGGAGAGTATGGGCTGGGGATTTGTGGGTGAGGAGGGAGATCCTGGTGCAGGGGACGATGGCAACGTGGGAGCACCAGGTGGTCCCCATGAGTTGGAGGGCACTTCCGTACAAATGGAGCAGTGGTAGAAGGCTATTCCTTCAGGCCGTTCGACACGCTTGTCTCGTTTCGCTGCCAGATATCCACATCCAGTTACCAGCTCCATGTCTTGGGTCCTAGAAACGCAGGGATGATTTATGTTGAGAGACTGTATCAGTGATCACAAGCTACGAAGATGCCTCAAGATGTCGTTCGCCAACTAAGTCCGCCTCCTTGTTCAACGCCTCTATTTCTGCCAGAACGAACGGAATCCCGTCCTTCTCCCTCTTTTCCGCCATGAGCAGCTCAATCTCTCCTGGATAATATATCCTCTCTACCCCGCTCATCCTCTTACATTCCACCACTCTGCGGTACAAGTAATCCATCCTCGCCTTGAACTCTTCCATCGACATGAACATATCTGGTTTGATAGCTATGAATAGATGGCCCACATCGGCCGGCTTCGATGGGTCATACGGATTGGTGACATGCCCGGCGAATGCAGAACCGGACAATACGCCGGAGAAAACGTCCATCATAATGGATAATGCAGAGCCTTTGGGCCCACCCATAGGTAGCATGACGCCTCTTAATGCCGACGCTGGGTCGGTGGTGGGTGAACCGTGCTCATCAAGCGCCCAATCGGGCGGTATCCGCTCCTCCCGACGGAGAGCCTTGTATATTTTCCCGCGCGCGGCTATGGAGGGCGCCATGTCGAGAATGAACGGAATCGACTTTTCACCGGCAGGAGCACCGCACGCGATGGGCGACACACCCATGAGCTTCTCCTTTCCACCCCAAACCGGGAGTGCGGGGGAGGAATTGGTGAATACCAGGCTCAACATGTCTGCGTCTATGGCTTGCTGGACGAAGGACGCTGACATGCCAAAATGGTTGGAGTGCTTTACAGAGACCATGCCGATCCCGTAGTCTCGCGCCATCTTGATGGCTGTATCCATGGCTTTGTGGGCCGTGATAAATCCGAATCCATTTTGCCCGTCTATTTGGGCGACCACCGGCGTCTTTTGCGTGACTACGGGCGAGGCGAGGGGGTCAAGGACCTTGTGGCGGATCCGCGCAATGTACGAGGGGATGCGATTGATGCCATGTGAATCGACGCCACGAAGGTCAGCGTCCACGAGGCATTTTGCTACGATGGAAGCGTTTTGGCTGGGAACTTGATGCCTCTGGAGAAGGGACTGGACGAAATGACGGGCAGCGGAGGCGGAAACCAGGACGGTGCTGGGCGAAGAAGCCATTGAGGGAAGATCTGTTTCTAGGCGGTCGGTTTACTATCTCATAATAATTTTGGCAGCCAATTCATCTCCACGCAATCTGGTTAGCCTGAGGATTCAGCTATTTATTCTATTTGAGGTGGTTTGAGGTGCGCTTTGATTGACTTTCTAGTTCTAAACTCTAAATGCCACAAGCTCAAGCTTATCTAAGCAGTCTATATGCTCTCACCGTCTCTCCTGGAAATCAGTTGCTCCTATTCAAAACAAAAACGGGTCTCTATATTCATAAGGCCGTGCACACATCGGAGCCGTTTTGCGAACCCAAGTATTTCAAAAGCAGGAAAAAAATAACAAGAGAGATTTACCCTCAGAGCGAAGCCTAAGCGTCGTCAGGTGGCCTGCTGACAATAATGGACGGGAATATCAGAGCCCCGTAGTTGTGCCATTACACCTTGGGTCCCGCCCCCCATCATTTGTCTGGGTGTTTGGTTTCCGGACTCGTCACTAGACCTTTGGGAGGGCGAGCCGTCAACAATGTCGCGAAGACGAGCTTCATGTGGTGTGCCAATGAAAC